CATAGAGCCTTTACTACATGAAAATGAAAATTAATGAATACACTGTGTACAGTAATTTACCTGATAAGACAGACCTCAGAAAAATACTTTATGAGAGCTTTTATACTTTTATAAAGCTGTCTATAATGAAAATTAATTAACTAAGGATTTTTTTGCCCTGCCAGGGTGTGGTCGAGTTATCCGGAGTGCCGGGTTATCGAGAGCCGAGTTTTCGAGGTTCTACTGTATTATTTTAAAAAACCAAAAATATAAATTTTAAAGCACAAAATCCAAACAAATAGAATTGTGTTATATTTATCATTTATACATTTCAATTTCCAGTCCTTCCAACAAACTGCTATTGAAATAGAAGACAAATTGTTCCTTGACTTCTATAAATTCAAAACTATTTGTAAAAAGATAGTTTACACCAAATAATTTTTTTTTTATATTCGTTATATTATTGTTTTGTTATTCTCACATTGTTCTTCTTTACTTTCTTTACTTTAAAAAAAACAATACATGGTTTTACCATGTATTGTTTTTTTTAAACTAATCAGATATTGTTGTAATGAGGGTGGCAAATATTGTCTGCAAGACATTGCAAAATTTAATGTTAATAAATTAATAAATTTTATAACACAAGACTATTGGCAAGACTAGCATTACTGTAGAGCTTGTCTATAGGATTGGAAATTGAAATATATAAAAAAACAAAATCCATTTTTACCTTCATAATTTAGCATTTTTCATTCAACACTGCTATATGTGGAGAAGTGTTCCATTTGCCTCATGTTTGTTACAGAGCTATTTTAAGAGTCAATTTTTGATATAAAATATTTTCAAATTTATTTTTTAAAATTAGTGTGACACTAATTTATGAGTAATTGGTGTGTGAGAATTTGATAAAACAGTCTCTTATTTTATTCCTCTTCTGGATTTAGAAGACAAAATTTCCTATATACCAAGTACCAACTGATATTTATTACAAAACATTCTAATCACAAATGCAATGAAATCAAAATTTTCCTTGTGCTCCTATTAGATAGCTCTTAACTTCCAGTTTCCGTTTTCTTTGTTTCTTTCATACTGTATATTCATTCATTAGGAATAATGCCTGTTGTGTAATTTAGTGAACTTAAATTTGTGTTTACAGTTAATTTAAAGTTTACAAACCTTCTCATTGATTATAATTTCATTAATTAAAACACAATTTTATTTACCTTATAATACTTTTTTCCTGTTTATGTATTGGTTTAACTTATTTCTGTTTTATGATTACAGTAATACCTCGACTTACATTACCCGACTTATGCGAACCCAGAGTTACGTGATTTTCAAATCTCGTCGATTCGTCTTTTGTTTGAGCGCCACACAACTCTTGATTACTCCCCCCACACTATTGTTCAGCTTACATGTTCGGATGTGTTGCGCGGAATCGACACATAGCTACAATTTATTTTGTGTTATTTATTTGGGATAAATAAATTTCTGTGTTTGTTATATCTACAGAGACTTGAGAGATTCTATGTGGTGATTTCTTGTAACCGTGAACGAATCAAAAGACGAGATAAGATTAATGAGAACATTATCACAGCTTACATACATCAGACTTGGATTTTACACAAATTGCGAAATTATACCCCGACTTATGCGAATTCGACTTACGCGGTTATTGCTCGGTCCCACCTATCGCGTAAGTTTGGGGTATTACTGTATATGAAGAAATGTCTGATAACTGCTGTTTGCTTATCTCATTTCATGTTAGCTCCTTCCATATTCGTAAATAATGTAATCTACACAATTCAATTACTTTTATTTACTTCATTTAGAATCATTGGTTAATAGGTAAATATGTGCATTATAGTACTTTGAAGTTACAGTTGAACCTGTCTATCTCGAATCTCATGAAAACTTTTCAGATATTACCATTTACTGTGTAGAAACCTCTATATGTTTGATTGGAAGTATGGTATTTCATTAATACAATAGCAAGTACAGTACATACCTGTATTAGGTATAAATAAAACATATTAGGCATAGTTGGTTTACAAATTAAGAAAGAATCAACTGATTTTGGTACAGATCTATTCCAAGACTAACTGATTTTGGTACAGATCTATTCCAAGACTAACTGATTTTGGTACAGATCTATTCCAAATATCAATTATCTAGAGCTGCAGAAAAACAAGCAAGCATGCTAGCATTAACACATTTTTATTATTCTCTCTAATATAATGCATTTTGAATCACACCATCTTATAATTCCTTGTCAATATTACATAGTTACATTCTTGAGTGATGCTCGAATGAGTTCACATTCACCTATTAGTAGACTATGTCTGATGACTACAGTATAGCTATATAAGTAACTGATGCATCTATCAAGTGATATTCAAAGGCTTTGATAATTAACTACTGCTGAAATACTTCTGATGACTCTAGTGCTTACATAATCAGACATAGAGAAAATCCTCATTAATTTGAACTTGGATAGTTTGAAATCCCATTAGTTTGTAACTGTACTTTTTTCCCATCCAGGGATATAGAGATTTACATGTTAAGGAATTTGGTTAGTTCAAAATATGGCTACTTTGAAATTTCAGTAAAAATTCTATCTGAACTGTGATATGTATATGTTAACTCATTTGTTTAGATAAAAGTACCTCCATACTATAAGAGAACAATAAAACAAGGACAACTCTAATCTGGTCAATATGGCTTTGTTTTTACAGTAACACATTTTCGGTTGTCACCTTACCCATGGACTATCCTTTTTACTCTCATCTCATCAAATAAGGCTGGTTTTTGAGATTGCAAGATTAAGTTATTTTTAGAACTCTAGACTACTACATTTGAGTGACTTATTACTTTTTGGGCCATTTTTAAAATAATTTGGGCTACATTTTGAGGAATTCTGCTTTACATTTTAGAAAATCTATCAGGCAACCTGTGAGGTTCTCACTGGACACATGCTGTTTACCTTTGCATTTATATTATTATTATTAATTATTAACAAAAATAGCTTTTTGTATAAGTAGCTGTATTCCATTTGCTTAATTAATTAATTAATAAGTTTCATCAATTACATGGCATTTGGCATATTGTGCAGAAATATGTAAATCTTAGATAATTCAAAAGTCGATAATTCAAAGTTGTGATTATTTCATTCCTTGAATTTTGAACTAATAAACATTTCCTGTATATCTAACATATCCACAAAAATTTTCAATAGTATTAACATTTAACTGCTGGTGATGGCTATGTTACTATATATGTGTTGTTATATGTCCTATTGTTCTTATAAAATGAACTTTCAATATGAAAAACTTTCTACTAAAACGTAATCAAATCCTAATAAGTTTATAATCTGAATTCCAAAAAAGTAATTAACATTTTTGACATACCTTAATAGAAATAATTTGTCAACAGTTTCTGATGCTCAACTTTCTTAAAGCCAATCTCATAGCCAGTCAGAGAAAAGCAGCATCAATTGCAATTATGTATTATATTGCAAGAGCTTTTTCTCAACTAGTTTATGCTATCAAAATGTAGTTATTGATCTTTGAATTTGTAACTGACACTTTAATCCATAATTTGAGATATGGGGGTTTTGGGAGAAAATTATTTGAGATAAACATGGATAACATATTGAATTTAGTCTAAAAATGAAGAGAAAAATTGAAATAAAGAGGTATTTCAAGATAAACACNCTTTGTTTTTACAGTAACACATTTTCGGTTGTCACCTTACCCATGGACTATCCTTTTTACTCTCATCTCATCAAATAAGGCTGGTTTTTGAGATTGCAAGATTAAGTTATTTTTAGAACTCTAGACTACTACATTTGAGTGACTTATTACTTTTTGGGCCATTTTTAAAATAATTTGGGCTACATTTTGAGGAATTCTGCTTTACATTTTAGAAAATCTATCAGGCAACCTGTGAGGTTCTCACTGGACACATGCTGTTTACCTTTGCATTTATATTATTATTATTAATTATTAACAAAAATAGCTTTTTGTATAAGTAGCTGTATTCCATTTGCTTAATAAATTTCATCAGTTACATGGCATTTGGCATATTGTGCAGAAATATGTAAATCTTAGATAAGTCAAAGTTGTGATTATTTCATTCCTTGAATTTTGAACTAATGAACATTTCCTGTATATCTAACATATTCACAAAAATTTTCAATAGTATTAACATTTAACTGCTGGTGATGGCTATGTTACTATATATGTGTTGTTATATGTCCTATTGTTCTTATAAAATAAACTTTCAATATGAAAAACTTTCTAGTAAAACGTAATCAAATCCTAATAAGTTTATAATCTGAATTCCAATAAAGTAATTAACATTTTTGACATACCTTAATAGAAATAATTTGTCAACAGTTTCTGATGTCCAACTTTCTTAAAGCCAAACTCATAGCCAGTCAGAGAAAAGCAACATTAATTGCAACTATATATTATATTGCAAGAGCTTTTTCTCAACTACAGTTTATGCTATCAAAATGTAGTTATTGACCTTTGAATTTGTAACTGACACTTTAATCCATAATTTGAGATATGAGGGTTTTTGAGAGAGAATTATTTGAGATAAACATGGATAACATATTGAATTTAGTCTAAAAATGAAGAGAAAAATTGAAATAAAGAGGTATTTCAAGATAAACACGTTTTAGATTGACAGGCTCAACTGTTTTAGAGGAACATGAGTAAGGTGACTGGATTATTTCAGAATGAGGTACAAATTATAAACATGAGAAATAACAACTAAGTTTTTCTTATTATAAGATTTCAATTTATGAGAAGTTTTCAAGAAGGAGAATGGTTATATCTGTGTTAAATTTATTTCTAGGTATAGAATTAACATAAGAACTTTTATTTATACAGTACATTTATTATTTTCTCATTCTATTTAAATATTTTGTGTTTCTAATAAAAAAAAATTAAGTATCAAATTTTAAAAATGTTATAATTTTAATAAATTCAAAAACTGAATACAACATACCAAATCATTTTACAAATGTAATTTACTCTTCATGTTCATGTTGTGCCTCTGCTTCTCGCCATGTATTTTTTATACTTTCTACAATCCTATGGCAAAGTGATGATTTAAGGAACCATATACATAAACATACTATTGTAAATACCCACGACAGAATTAAAATATAATCAGTTCTTTCTTGTAAAGCTGCAGGAACTGGGCCTGTCATATCAGCGGAAGTAACATTTAATGCACCTTCGGGAGATATTCCTAAACGAATTTGATAAAATTTAATAAAATTATTTTTAAAAAAAAATTAATATTAAATGAAATTTAAATATTACTTACCTGTTAATTCACTTACAAAATTTGAAAATTTTTCTAGACTGGAATGAGACCCATTAAATTTTGCAACTGCTCGTCCATTTTGAAACAGAAGAATCGTTGGAACTGCTATTAAACCATACCTCATATGCAAGCTATAATTAATATTAATTCAAAGAAAAATTATGGACTTTGAAAGTCACATAATATTTATTTATATTTATTTTAAAACAAAAATAAATTAAATAAAAGTTGTAAAGATCAGAAAGAATTCCAAACTAATTTTTAATTAATCAATATATTTACTTTGTATGTTGAACGGCATCAATAGCATAAAAAGAAATTTGCGGAAAAACACGAGCTAGAGCATTAAAATGAGGTGCAGCCCTTGCAGAAAATATACACCAAGGTGAATAAAAAAGAACTACAGCACATTCTCCATCTGTGATATTAGGAAGTGGTGTCAATGCAGTTAATAATGAAGATAAATTCATTATCTTGACTTCTGGTACCTTAAATAAGCAAAAATGAAATAAATTTCTTATAAAATTTTAAAAATTAATAATTAAAAAACTAAAGAAATTTTAAAAGTTGATTTTCTTTTTTTTTAAATCATAAATATTTTTGAATTTTATTTACTTATAAATTCATATAGTTTATTGGTTTTAAGTAACAACAAACCTATAAATTGGTATGCTATATCTTTTATATTTCATGCATAGTTTGACAAGTTTAATTTAAATGATTACATATTATTTTTCACTAGCTTTTGCCCGCGGCTTCGCTCGCGTTAAGAAGTATTATTATTAATTAGGTATAGTTTTTGCGGCTTTACTTTTGTTTAGCGTGTGTAAAAAATTAGGGCCTACAAAACTTCTTTGTACAACTATGTACAAAGGGTACAATATAATCCCCGCAAAAACTATACCTAATTAACCCCCGTCAAATATAATCCGCTAGAAATATTTAGGTATAGTATGTACTATTAGATACGGCGGCCACTCATCATCGGGTATATGTAACTCAGTGAAAACACAACGATAGCGCGTTTTAAAATACTACTAACGCCATCTATTGTCAACATTTAGAACTAAAAATTATTTTGTTCGTCTTAATTTATTCGTTCCATTAGGTACTGATAGGTTCAAACTAATACATTTACATCC